TTTCCCATATTACCCAAATAGCCAAAGAAGAAAGAGCTGAATGATGAGGAAAGACAGATGCAGGATCTCTCTAGATTTCTTTCTAGAAATATGTTTCATGTCAGCTTCAAACAGAACTCTAACAATACAAAGAATATAGTAAAAGGTTTTTCATAAACCTCAAGGCAAAAGACTGGGGAAAGTTGCTTCGAAGGCCTCATGGATTAAGTCAAATTTCCCTTTTCAAGCTTTTTACATCCAAGGGGAAAATACTGGTCACTGTGTGATGTCCACTTAATGGCCAAACTTTCAGGAGTACTTTCTCCCATCTGGCCAATTAAACCCAACTATATATTTGGTAACTTTAACCTTGTAGTTCATTTACAATTACTATTCCTCTAAGCCTTTGTGCTAAGACATACAAGGGTTTTTCAATTTAATCATGCTCATTGGCATTGAGGTCTCCAATTCCAAAGTTGTCATTGCACAGACTATTGCATAATTTTAGATGTCATGGAGAGTCCCACTGATGAAATCTGAGAAGACTCATGTCAGACCACTGACTGCTAAAGACATCACTACATGAAAGATCAGTGGTGTGAAACTTTAAAAACATCGATCCAAATGAATCAATTAAATCAACATTCATCCCTCCTAAGTGTGAGGTTTAAGACTATCATTGCTGCATTTGTGTGTGTGTTTTAACTCTACCTAGATTTTGAGATAAATGCTGGAATGCTTTGATGGCTATTTCTATTCTGGAATCTCCTGTTAATCGACTTTGTGCTATTTCCCTCTTTTCAACATCTTCCACTTGGTGTATATTCTTTACTTTAGTACAGTGCATGACAGTTGCAATGCTTTAAATCTAAAACCGCTTAACAAAGCTGCCGCTTTAGGTAGGGTAGCTTTAAGCTCTGTGAAGTGTTGATTAAAAATCCTTTCCCAGACTCAAACTGATCTTTTTGGAGATTAATAGAATATTAGATAAAAGGAAGACGAACAATTCAAGAGACTCCCACTCAGTCATTCTATACAAGGAAGGAAGGAAAGTATTCAATTTTTGAAAAGGAGCACCTCCTGGAGTCTTTTATTTTATATTATTACTGCCCCTAATAAGTAATCATAAAATAACCACTACCATTATCTTTTTTTTTTTTTTTTGCCACCCATATTTCAAAGTTGAGAATGTTTCACATTTATTTAAAGATATTTTCCACCACAGTGGCATGAGAAAAGTTTTGAAGAATTTTTTAGACTTTCTGTAATAATAATCTTTCTTAAGTAAATTACAATGACAGACACCAACAGGAACCTGTCAATTTACAGTAAAATTATAACAGGAGACATACATGCATTTGGATTGAAACGCCAGATAATTCAGAGAAACATGGGGGGAGGGGAGAACCTAGCTTTCCAGTACTAACAATGTAGTTAACATAGCTTGTCACCCACACCCTCTCAGAGGAGTTAGTTACAAGGTTCTAAGTAAGGAAAAAGCTATACTTATTATTTTCAGACTCTATATACATACATCAACAACCTTATGTATATGAATTTGGGAGCAATTTTATCTCACCAGACATTTTTTTTTTTAGGAGTGCACAAAGTATATTAAAGCTTAGTTTATGAAACCACAGTTTAGTAAAAGGTTTTCATATTTCCTAGCTAGCTAAGGAGATAGTGTAGATATAAAGAAGGGATGTCATTAAAAACTGTTAGCTTTGAGAAAGGTACAAACCCAATAGTGACCCAATTCAAGTTAGGATATTACTGTGCAATAATAGTAATAGTCAAACAAGTTATAGTGTCTCACCATTCTTCTTAAGTTTCTGCTTCTATTTACCTCCATCTAGATGGTGAAGAAATTAACTTCAGAGCAATGTTTGTTGGGAAAATTGTTTTTTATTTTAAAATGATCAACAGAAATATATAATAGATAAGAAACGCCTGTGCTTTTACTTCTTTTTCCTCTCTCTTTTTTGTAAAAACAATAATGTAATACAGGTCGAAGTGCAAGGCAGAAACCTGAGAAAAGCAAAATTATCACAAGTAGAATTTTCTCTCCCTTCAAGTATCCATGAAAAATTTTAAATGACTGAGTAAATCCCATGAGGAGGTACCTTTCAAAAGCTCCAAAGTAATATCTGGTTTTTAAGATTGGATAATAAAACTACTTAGAATCTAAGATGATCAGTAACTCCTTCCTTCCCATTCCACTTACTCTACGAATACGTAATTAAAACAAAAAGTTCACATCCTAATTTTAAGTCTCTAGTCTCCTATAAATCTGTCTAAAGATAACAAAAAGGGGAGAACAGAGTAGAAATACTGTTCACATCTGGCCATCCCTAAGCAGTTGAGCTCCTACCAACTGCTTGTTATTTCTCCCAGAAAACTGAAGTGAATGATAGTATTGCCTTTATATCAACAGGCTCTGGTAGCGTAGTGGTTACGAATCGGGCTGCGAACCTTAAGGTCAGCGGTTCGAAACTACCAGCCGCTCCGCGGGAGAAAGATGAGGCTTTCTACTCCCGTAAAGATTTACACCCTCGGAAACCCTGTACAGGGTCGCTATGGGTCGGACCCGACTCGATGGCACTTAACAACATCAACAGGCTAAAAAATCCTACAGTACAAGGAGTCTGATCAGTTACCAGTTGGTGGTCTGGGATGGTTTGCTTAACTCTCTCCAGGTAGCCACAGATCAAACCCACAAGGAGATACTACATTTACACAACTTAAGTTTGCAAGTAGCTCTCTATAGATAGTTAAACAAGTCTTAACAACCCAATAGTTTTAAAGTATGAAAGGCAATTAAACTGTGGTTTACTTAAGCTAGAAGTAAAGGTTTTTAAGAGAGGTGGGGAAACTGAAGAGAAAGGATGATTTGGTTTATAAAATGAGCACATTTACTTTTCTAGGATCAGCTGTAGAAGCTTCATGAATTCAGCATAGCACAAGTGTTGATGTCATAAAGAAGTGCTGTAAAATTAGTTTACTGTGAACAATTCCCCACACACTTTTATAATACTTTGAAAAATACATTTAGTCCATTTAATTCTCAAAACTTCTCACTGGAAGATACCATTATTTTACAGAGGTCACTATGACTTCTAAAATACGAAAGACTGGATAAAAAGGGTCAACATCGCAGACTGGACATTCTTAGTGTAATGAATTTTTCAATCATCCAGTATTTGAACAAAATGTCATTTTGATTTTTCCTCCTATGTTGTTTCTGGTTAAATAACATCAAAGAAATGCAGACATGGTCACTGAAAAAAGATCATTTTAATTTGCCATCAAACTATAAGAACTAACTAATGTACTTGTATGTAAAACATAGCACGAGATAATACCAGTTTTTAAATCTTGTAAGAAGACAATTTGTAATATAAAAATTTATCTATGAGGTGGATAATTTTAAGGTATTTTCTGAGGTGTTAGCAAGTTCTAAGTCCTTTGGGGTACATTTTATCATGCCTTCAAGTAAGGCAGGCATATGAACTGTTGCTTATATTTTTTAAAAAGGAAGAAAAATATAAATTTAGGTTGTTTTTTTTCTTTTATCAGAAACAGAATCTTCACTAGATAAATTCCTCAAGTAATTAAAATTTGACAATGACAAAATTTAATATTTGGATTCAAAAGTCAGCAAAATCTTAACTTATGTTACCTGTTGTTTGTCACAGTGTTGGCCAAAATTTAGGCTGATTAAAACACTAAATAGTTGAAATTGTAGGGCAAAACCCTGCAGAGCAAGTGGAATGCTAAACATTATGTCACTAAACTTGAGAGAAGAAAACCCTTCACACCATTTCTCTTCCCGTTGGAGAAAAAAAAAACTAAAATAATCATTTTAAGCCCCATTTAGCCTTTCAGAAAGAAAAGGTTTCTGAATATACAGGTTGATTTTTCTGAAGACAATAAAAAAAATTCTATTCTTAAAAGGCTTAACTCAATGAAAACTCAAGAATAGATCCTTCTCATTAGGATTACCTGTAACAGCAGCAGCAACAGCAAGCTTTCACCACATAAGATATAAAAAGCAAAACTGAAGTGTGCTATGTAAACTACAACTCCACTCAATACACATTATATATTTAGTAAGTAAAGTCAATTTTAATGATAAAAGTTGGAGAGTCCATCGAAAATGGGACTTTTCACACATACACTTAAAAGATCTGCTCATCATTATATTTTGGTTTTAAAAGCCTCTTCTGTAATTAGAGACTTTTGTAAAATCTCATATTCATCTGGCAAGGATTTTTAGCGGTAACGTGGATTCAATACTTTATAGATTTTTATGCAGTTTTTCTTCTGGTCTCTAAATGAAAATAGATCGTTAAGAGAACAATTTGCACTCCCCAAACTAGAAGGTACATCATGACATTTGTGTTCTCAATTTAAATTTGGCTTTTCCGAGAAAAAAAGAAAAATCACATACACACACCAAGTTCCCTAAAAAATATGCCCTTGGCGGGGGTGGGGGTGGGGCATTTAAAAATGGAAGTTTGAAGTTTTAAAATTAAAGTTTGCTCAGAAAGAGAAAAAAAAGAACATGATTAATGGGGGTAGGCTGGGGTGGGGTAGGGTGGATGGTGACCAGGAAACGGGAAGCGGTGGATCTGCAGAAGTGGGCGGTAGGACCGCGCAGACGCCATTCGCTCGCCGGCAGCGCCCGCGCGGGTTCCATCAGGGCAATTAGAGCCGAGCCGGCCAAGCGGGCCAGGGCGCTGTCAGCCTTAATCTGCGCGCTGACGGGCAGTGCGAAGCCGGAGCTCAGCCCGCAGGAAGCACGACCAGTGAACCCATATTGCTTTGACAGTTGCACTCATCTAGAAATAATGCAAAACGCTATTTAGATGTATATATCACGACCCTGTGCTCTAAGAAGAAAACAATCTAATGAGGGGCTGGGAGTCGGCTCGCAGACAACAAGCAGTTGGGAGACGTGTGGCTGCAAGCTCGAAGAGTAGTTCCTTCTCTTCCCCTCCCCCGTCTCGCTTGCTCTCCTCTTACAACTCTTCGTGCTTTATTCGATGGGAGCGTCGCGTCAGAGCCGGCTTGAGGGAACTGGTCTTTGCCTCCGAGGCTTCCGTAAAGAATTTGAAAATAGACGGGAAGCTCTTCCAGGAAGTTAGCTCGTGACGATCAGTGCCTGCAAAGAGCACAGAATCGGTTAAGAGGTGGCCTTGCTGGGTGCTGGGTGCTAGGTGCCGGCGCGAGTGCGGAAGGGATGTCAGACTGAAACCAGCCCATAGGCCGCCCTGCGCCCTGGGCTCCGCCCCTCGAGCCCTCCGCCGGGTCCCCCTAGCTCAGTTCAGTGACCGCTCTCAGTGCCAGGGTCTATTCTCGGCCCCTGGAAGCCCTGGCCCTCAGCGTTTGGACCCGGTCCTTCCCGCCCCCCGCATCCACCCCTGGAGGGCGCGCTTCCCCAGACATGCGATGACGGGAGGCAAGTTCTGGCCAGCATGCAGTCGCCAAAGCTGAAGAGTGCGCGGCCTGCTGGGGCTTTTCTACCGGAGGGCTCACTTTGTCTCTCAGGGCTCCGAAGAATCAAGATTTGCGTCAGAGTCCAGGTTTCCGCAGGCGGCGCCCGGGGGATCTCGGGCCGCCTCTGGCCTGATCCAAATCAAGCCCCAGTGCTCGGCCTCGGCAGGGACTTTCCCCGCGGGTCGCTGAGGGCGGACCCCTGGCCCCAGATGCCCACAGCCTGTCCCGGCCAATCGAAGCGCTCGGCGGGAAGGGCCCCTCCCTCTGCTGCCTTGAAACCACCCACCTCCCCAGACTCTGCGGCACGCTCGGGGATTGGTTTCCCCTGCCGGCGGGATCCGGCTTCTACACCCACCAGAGTTTCTTTGCCATCCAAGCGGGGGCGGGAATCAGATTTTTTCTGCCTCTCCCGGAAGCTGTGATGTTGGCTATGATTTCTCAGAGAAGTCGCTAGATGCTTAATAAAGAATCATATTCAAAAGACTGTGCCTTGAGGTGTGTGGTGGCTGTGTGTCGCGAAACCGGTTCCGACTCATAGTGATCCTGTATAGGGTTTCTTTATGGGAGCAGAAAACCTCATCTTCCTCCATGGAACTGTTAACCTTGCGATTAACAGCCTGACTGTAATCCACTAGGTTATCAGGGCTCCTTTGAGATGTCTTGCTGTTAAGTACCATCAAGTCAGTTCTGACTCATAGTGACCCTGTATAGGGTTTCTGATGAGAAGCTGGTGGGTTTGAACTGCCAACATTTTGGTTCACAATCCAATGGTCATCCTACAGCACCACACCAGGAGACCTTGAGGTGGGTGTCCTAGCAGGCTACATTTTCATAGACTTTCGGGGAGTTTTAGAAAACAACAACAACAGTACTAAAAGAGCATCTCCCTATTGAGATGTATTCGATTCCATCCCTTCTCATAACCGATAGGGCAGCAATCTTTATTGGAAGAAACCCTGGTGGTGCAATGATTAAGCAAGGTGGTTACTAACCGAAAGGTGGTCAGTTCAAACCCAGCAGCAGTTCTGGGGTAGAAATATGTGCAGTCTTGCTTCCACAAATATTTCAACCTTAGAAACCCTGTAATAAGGAGTTCTGCCCTGACATATAGAGTCACTATGAGTTCGATTCGAAACGAGGGTAATGGATTTGATTTTTGGGGCTGGAAATCCTTCCTTACCAGGACTGACAGCCACATCTTTCTCCTGAGGGCTGACTGGTAGGTTAGACCCTCTAGTCTTCCTATTATGCCAGAAATAATTCAACTTAGAAAACAAGTTTCACTGTCAATTTACAGGGCTATTATTATTATATTATTTTTTACTAGAGTTTATTTCTGTAGCTTCAATTTAACATTAATGTACAGTATTTTTCAAATTAAATGTACCCTCAGTGTAACATAGGAAACAAATAACATTGATATAGTCCTAAGGATAGATGAGAGAAAATCCATCTCTTTTTCATTCCCTGTGATAGTTTATATCATTTTACCAGTAGCTTTGTAACTCTGGGCACTTAGAAAATTGTAATAAAACAAAACAAAAATAATATTTAAGAAATATTCTAAACAATGAATAGCTTTGAAGAAATTGAAATTTTTCTTTCTAGATCTCCCAATTATGCAGAAATGCGGCTACCAGTCTCTGGATTCAGGGCCCCTGTCTGATACTTTAACATTGTTAATGATAATTCTTTAGTCTGTAATAGTAGGTCATTGCTATGGTTACTCTACAATGGTGCAACACTTTGCTTTCCCCTTCAGCTATTCGCTGAGACCTGGTAACCACATTTGTTGCCTAGCAACATTTTTGTGACAGTATCACAATCTGGGAGTTACAACAATAAGGATGCTATGGCTGTGGTCTGCCAGAGAGCAGAAAGCTACAGTCTGTGTCTGTGACTTAGCTGTGGGAGCTGGTCCTCACACAGAACCTAGCCTAGAGAACTCTCCCCTATAGGTGTCCCTATGAGGATGCTCTCCTTTGCAGACTGCCCCTAGGAGCCCAGATTTGAAACCAAAATTCAGTACTGAAATCATAACCCTAAGAAATATGCTCCAATATTACTGTAGTTAGACTAAAAACTGAAATAATTTATCTGTTACTGATTATTTGGTGGGGGGAGGGAGGAGTTTGAATATAGGTTAATTCTGGCAAACTCTAATGTACCTGACTGGATTTTGGCAAGTTTTGACTAAATCTTAGAAAAATGGTGTGATGCAGTAGGATATGCACCGGACTGCAGACAGCAAGGTTGACAGCTTAAACCTACCAGCTGCTCCTTGGAAATCCTATACAGGGTCGCTATGAGTCGGAACTCAGTCAGTGGCACTTAGCAGTAACAACAACTGCATCAATAGGTCTAAAATGTTATGTTCTTTAAAATATACAGAACATCCAGGTATTTATTATTACTACTACTACCAGTCACTGGAGAAGGATATCATGTTTGGTAAGGTGGAGGGTCAGAGAAAAAGAGGAAGACCCCCAGCAAGATGGATTGGCCAAGTGGCAGCATCAATGGACTCAAGAATGGCTGCAATAGTGAGGTTGGCCCAGGCTCGGGCAGTGTTTCGTTCTGCTGTGCATAAGGTCGCTATGGGTCAGTACCGACTCGATGGCATCTAACAACAATAACTACTAAATTATTCCAATGATAGTCTTAGGGAGTTTTTTGAATTTGAGACATTCATAGTCCCCAAAACTAAATATCCTGGTATGCTCAGGTGTATCTACTTTAAATATTTTGTGAATCCAGTTTCAGGAAAGATTTATGAAATGACTGCAGTTTTTTTTTTTTAATAAAAAAATCATAGAAACTTTTATTAAAATGTGAATATTGTTTCCCAACATATCCTCCATCTAGGTCTATAACTTTTTTTTTTGTTGTTAATGCTTTATTGTGAATTATGTGATAGTTTACATAGGAGAACATAAGCTTCACATTGATCCCATTGTATTATCGTTTCCTTGCCATGGTTACAATCCCCTCCATGCATCATCCACCAACCAAAGGGTATACCCCACAAGCCTGTCCCCTGGTCGTCAGCACACAGCCCCTCTCCCTTTCCGGGTCCAAAGTCCCCAGCTGCTCCATCTCTCCACGAATGACTGCACTTTTACAGTGTTTACTTACAACCCTAGTTTCATTTCAGTAATAAGTACTATTTGCATTATTATAACATTTTAAAATCAGTTAGATTTCTTCTTTGTGAAACACCATTCTCAGATGCATACTATATGGCAACATACTCTCTCAACACAATAAGAAAAAAATATATATATATAAAGGGTGTTTTTTTCCCTTTCCCTCCTATTTCCATCGCTTTCAGCCACATGTAGGATTTCCTCCCTAGTGATCATATTCATACCTATTAGTGAATAAGAAAAATAAATAAATAAATAAAAAGGGTGGTTTTTTTTCTCCTTTCCCTCCTATTTCCATTGCTTTCAGCCACATGTAGGATTTCCTCCCTAGTGATCATATTCATACCTACTAGTGTTATCAAGGCTATGATACATTTGTAAACTTTCTGGGAAAACTTCTCTATAATTCCCACCACCCCTTGAAAACCAATTCAAGCTATGAATTTAGAGGGACCCATGTCAGAATCGACTTGTTGGCAGTGGGTTTGGTTTGGTTTGTAAAGAGTCAGTGTCATTGTGAGTTAGGCATTGGATTGCTAACTGCAAGGCCAACTATTCAAATACACTAGCTGCTCCTCAGGAGAAACATGAGGCTGTTTCTTCCTGTAAAGATTTCCAATCTGGGAAGCACTACACAGGGCTGCTATGAGTTGGAGGTAACTCAGTGGCAGTGGGTTTGTGGTGTTTTTTTTTAGTAAAGAGTCAATGGCCTGACTCCTTTGTATTTTTCTTGGTGGCAATCTTTTTGCAAAATGAACAGTTCCCCTAGTGATAAATTCTCTATAAAGTTTTTTTCAGTTTTAGGTTATGACGTCTCTCTGCTTGATTAGTTCTGGACTGAAAAGACCAAAATCCTGTAGATAAGAGTCACTGCATTGGTGCTTAACATTTACTCTTTGCAATTTAAGAACATATAGAATGAGAATAGGTACTTCTGTCAGAGGAAGGAAAGTTGCTAGGAGTCCTGGTATGGTGCTGTGAGATAAAGCACTGGACTGCAAGGTTGGTTGAACCACAAGGCTGCCAGTTCAAACTCACTAGTCGTTCCTCAGAAACCCTATATAGGGCTGCTACGAGTTGGAACTGACTCAACAGCACTTAACAACAACAACAAAGGTAATAAGAAGAGCCCTGGTGCAGTGGTCAAGTGCAGGGCTGATGATGGAAAGGTTCGCAGTTTGAATCAACCATGGGAGAAAAGACCTAGTAATTTGCAAAGGATCACAATCTAGGAAACTTTATGATGCAATTCTACTCTGTCCTATAGAGTTGTTATGTGTTGAAATTGACTCAGTGGTACATAACAGTGACTAAGTTCATAAACAAGGTGGGTCAGAAGCTGAATTACAGAGAGTGGGGCAGGGGATTCTTTATAGAACTGTCTCTCATCGGGTTTCCAAGGCTGTCAATCTTTATGGAAGCTGACTGCCATTTTGTTCTCCCATGGAGTGGCTGGTGGATTTGAACTGCTGACCTTTTGGTTAGCAGTTAAACAATTAACCACTGTGCCACCAGAACT